TACGGAAGATAGGACGATCCGGATGATATCCAAATGTGACATTTTCGAAGCGGATGGACCCGCCGTTTAGGCGAAGAGGAGGTGCATTGGATTTGTCCTAGAGGAATGCTGTGAATGACATCAGGGCCGCTCTGAAGTAAAATACCTGAGGTGGAGGATTTTCTTCGACGAGCTTGAACAAGACTTCCATGTCAAGAAGGTTTTGTCTCAGCTCACGATAAATGGTGCCCAAGAAGTTGAGTGGCAAGGACAGTTGAAAAATCAACTGGTTAACCATTACAAGATCTCCAACAGTCATCGTTCCTGTTTCTCTGTTCATGAATGTTCGGAACGAAGATACGAAAGCCACCTACCCTCGACGACCCCTTGGGCAGCTAAAAACATACACGCCGTTAACGCCGTTGAAAATATCACATTTTGGCCAGAATTCAGGTACGCCAGCGATGTTGTGATTTTGACTGACGAGTTTTCGTATTCTTCAAGGTGCTTGTCGTACTGCGCGATTTCGTATTTTTCATTGTTGAAGTGCTACTGGGGTTCATCAGATCTCCTACAGCAGGATGTCGATTTATCCCACCTTGACGGCTTCAAAGTTGATTAGTGAGTCCACTGACACTGTGGCCGCTTTGTTGTCCGCCTTATTGGCTTCCCGACGGAAACGAGTACTAGCAGAAAGAATCAGCATAGGGTTTACGAGGCTTGCGAATTTGAGACAGACCGCCATGACGTTGTGCGGACAGTGAACCAAGTGTAAGCTGCCATCGTGAGGACAGTTATTGCTGCGAAATCCCAGCCAAACTTGTAAGTCTACAAAAACACATCAGGGTTCACTACGGTTGATAATCCAGGGATTGCCGTACCAGAATACCGCAAACCATAGTGATCTCCAAAGCAGTGGGGACGATGCGGAAGATGATGGCTTGCAGAAGGAAAGTGATGCCTCTTTCGTCAGATGTCAGTGGTGCAAAAGTTTCGCTGCCACGCCCAGCTTACTTGGTACCACGATCGATCGCACGAGTCAAGCCTCCCGTTTGCCGAGAGAGATGGAAACGAAGGTCAAGGTTCAATAGATGCTCGAAAGTCTCTCTCGCAACTTTTCGTATGGCCTTCTGTCCAATGCGAGCGAAAATCGCGTTCAGTAGCTCACCGAAGACAGTGGCACCGACCCGGGCCGCGCCATCTGTTTCGTGTCAGCGTTACTCAACACAGCACGGTCTAAGCTTACATCCAAGAATCAAACTTCCTGCCACAATCCAAACAGCTGAGCTGGCAGTGATATCAACATTTAAGGCGTCAATGACGCCTTTGAATATCAAGGGAACTTGAACATTGAGGACCTGATAAGCATCAGCTTTGATTCGCCCGTGGAACTCTGGGGGCGAACCTTGCCACCGATTAGGAGGCCAAACCCTAGGAGTACCGTTCCTCGGGTCCTCCAGTCATTCTTCGGCCAAACATTGACTAGCAATCGTTTGATGATGGACCAGTCCGTCTTCCTCTGCTCTTTCGAAGTGGGGTCTTTTGGCTTGGTAGCTGCATTCTGTGCAGCACCTTTGGGTGGGGCTGCTGCTGGTGCGTCGGGCTTGGGTGCAAGGTGCTGAAATGTCCGGCGTGGCACAGACGATAGTGTGTCAAACGTCGGCCTGCAACGTTTGCTGTGCGAGATTATTGAAGTTTCTCCAGCAGCCCATCTTGAGAGGTGTATTCTACGAGCATTCCAGCGCGAACGTGAAGCAATTTGTGCCTCGAATACTGTCAAGTGTTTTGTGGTCCGTGAAGCTCGAACTCGAACAGCAGAACCAAGCATTGTCAGTACCGCGCCCAGTAGCAGCTATTCAGCTGCGCGACCGTTGGACAAGGAAAGGCAATGCGGGTGTTGTCAACGGTCGTCTGCAGAAGTTCAACTGCACCTATGAGGACACATGGCGCGATCGGCCATCTTATCTGATAAACCTCGATCATGTGAATCTATTATGTGCACTGCCACTTGTTGACCCGTCATGGCTTCTAGTCGTCCTGGCCCTCGTCGCGCCGCTGCACCAACTCAACTTGCGCCGCAGCCGAAGCCCACAATTTCAGTTGAGGAATGGGAGGCAAGAGCACCTTTGGGTGATCTCGAAGCTCGAAGTATTGCCGACATCAAAACAGCCAGCGAGCAAATCCCGTGGCCATCTTTACCATCGACTCCTCTTGCCCTTCAGCGTAACAAACCTGTGGCAGGTTCACGTCCCGATACACCTCTGTCTGGCTCAGCTTCCGCGCGCTCAGCTACTCATGCCCTGCACCCGAAACAGTCCATTCAAACGCCTCAACAATTCTATGACTGGTTTGCCTTGATCGATAGGTCAGTTGCTCACAGCCAAGAGTCTCACTTTCGTGCCCATGTCGCGAACGTGTCTGAGCATCTGAACGCGTGTGACTCGCTTATGGAAAATATTGATTTGGTGGACCGAGAAGTGGACGGAATGTTGGATGGATGGAGAGGTGTGGAAGAAGGTGGAAAGAATCTGAAGGATGCTTGCGAGAAGTTGTTGGAAGAACGGGTACGCGTTTTCATGCTTTTATACAGCTAAGTTACTTACTCAGTTCCAGGATAAGCTTCTGGAACTAACGGAGGAAATTGGCATCCGCTTGGAATACTTCCAGGAGCTCGAGCATGCGACCAGGATGCTCAATCATCCCGGAGAGTCTCTCGTCCTTCAGACCGACTTTCTTTACATGGTAGAGCGCGTCGACATCTGTATCGACTACCTCAAATCGCATGTTCGTGACACATGTTACTCTTCCATGTCCTTTGTTTGACATGGCTCAACTAGCGCCACTTCCGCGAAGCAGAGATATACCTCTTCAGATATCAACAATGCATGACGAGAGCTATGACCCTTATCAAAATGTATTTTGTTGGATCTCTTCGAGCTCTGTCGGTCGATGTCTCGAAGCGGTTGTACGAAAAGGTAACATCGGCGTATCTCTCCTTCGCTTCCATTGATGAGAACACCCTATTAGGATGTCTCGCCCACCGCTCAGATGCATCTTCTTTACACACGCTTCAAAACGGTGTCGACTCAGCTCCTTCCTTTGTTGAGCGAGTTGGAACGCCGTGCACGTTCTCATCCCCAGGAACTTTCCGCGCTTCTCGACGAGTGTCATACGGCATATTTTTCGGCGCGCAAGTCCTTGCTGGTAGGTAGAATCATGGAGGAGATCAAAGGGCTCGACCCGTCAAGGACGGAATTGGTGGAGTTGGTGCGTCTGATACATAGGGCCGTGATTCCGGCTGAAATAAAATAACAATTTTAGACGCGAGCGGGGTGCAGTTATCTAAAGCAACTATGTACCGACGAATTCGAGCTTTATCGCAATTTCTTCACTTCAGGTGAAGAACAGCTATAGTACGTTCTTACCTCATCTTTCGCTCCACCTGACCATAGCTTTCTTGACAGTCAATACTTGGAGACTCTATGCGACTATCTCTATGACGATCTTCGCCCTCGGATACTACATGAGCCCCGGCTGACTGCTCTATGTGAGGTCTGCACGGTCCTACAGGCGCTAATGGTGCTCGATGTCGCGTCAGTCCATGGCGAAGAAGATGACGATGACAGCCCAATACCAAGCAACAATGGCGAGCTCACGGTCGACCTCGATGCGGCTGGTGCTCGTAGAGTTCGCGGTCTTGGAAAACTTCATATTAGCCATCTATTAGAAATGGTCTTGCAAGATGCACAGACGAGGCTATTCTTCAAAGCGCAGTCAGTCATTCAGTCAGATATCAGATACTATGCACCGAGACCAGAAGACCTGGCTTACCCGGATATTCTCGTTGGCAAGCCCATCATCGAAGTGCCTTATGACTTCAACTGACCTTCGTATTCCATCGCAGAAGCACAGAAGCCTGCAATTGGTTCAACGATGCCGGAGAAAGCCAGTATTAGCGAGCTATTCCGATTGCCGTCCATCGAAAAGCAGGACACTTGGTACCCTACACTTCGCAAGACCGTCTGGGTGCTGTCCCAGTTACATGACTTTGTTAAGGTAGAGTCTTCAATGCCATTTTTTGGTTCCCCCAGTAATGTCATCTTTCCTAGCCTGCCATCTTCGAAGACATTGCGCAAGAAGCAATCAATTTATGTCGGCAGTCTCTTGTTGCGGCTGCGGATTTGATTCGTGTCAAAGCTCCAATGGACTCGCAGCTTTTTCTTGCAAGACATTTATTACTTTTGAAGGAAGTGACCCAGAATCTTGACTTGTCTCAGAAAGACACTGAGGGAAGTGGTAACAGTGGCAGAGATTTCGCAGGGATGTCCGGTGAGCAAGTTCTCTACTGGTCAAGCCTTTCTAGAGCTGATATCGGCTAGACACACTGGCTTCAATGCTCAGCAAGACTACATCACTTCTTCCGGATGCCCTTTTCACCTCCCTCGGTATGCCTCGCACGGACGAGAGCATTCAGGAGGCAAAACACGTACGCCCCCATCTCATGAAAGTTGAAACAAGCGTTTGACATTGTTGCCCGTTTCATAGGGCATCGATCACGATCTCCGTCGTGCTTGCGAGGCTGTGATCACTCTTTGTACAGATCCAATCACGCAACCGTTGCATGTCTGGGCAATGACTCCAACTCAGCCCAACGTAGCACACCCCGGGCCCCCGATACCCTCAGTCAGTCGCCACAAACCCTCAGCACATGATATCGTCTCCACGTTTGAGCGCGCTTGCTCGACAGAACTTCGTGCTCATGCTGGTCGAATGCGGCTATATCTTGAAGATTCAAGAACAGTGACTGCACGGGTCCTGCTTGAACATGTCCGTGAGCGTGTTGGGGATGCCTATGAGATATTTTGGGAAGCATCAGGATCTGGGAGTGGAGGCGGGGAACAAGTCATGAGTATTCCTGTTGTTCGAAAGTTGTTGATTGATGTATGCATGTAGAGATGACAGTAATATTTGGAGAGCAGTGTGGGTGGGGCATTTATATTATGCTTGAGCTTGACTTACTAGTCTGTGTAGCTCAGTGGTAGAGCATTGTACTTATGAGAATAACTAATTATTTATGGCATGCAAGAGCCCTGAGTTCAATCCTCAGTGTGGGCATGTTTTTGTTCTTAACAGGCAAAGGCCATTGCCATGGCAGGCTCCTAGAACCACCCTCTCATACAGCTTGGAAGGGTTGGCATGCAGACATGTTTTATCCCACTGAAAATTATAATTCAATCTGTTATCTTATTTGTACATACCAAATACAACCACAACAAATAAACTTAACAACCCAACCTTGCTGTAGAGAGGCTGGCAAACTTGCTGTTTGGTGATCTTGGCATAGCCTCCCAGACCCTGCTGTAGGGTTGGAAAGTATTGACATCTTTTCCTTTTCTTTCAACCACTTCAGGCATTGAAATCTGTATACAGAGATACAGGGTAAAATGAAAATTTTGAATGATATCTGAGGATACAGATTAAGATATAGTTAACCTGCTTATAAAGATGCATTTAATAAATATTAAAAATGTTTCTAGACTGTATCTA